TGAGTTACCAAAAGAGTGGCTGGACACTGGAACAGCTGCCCAGGGAGTCAGTGGAGTCACCATCTCTGGAAGTGTTTACAGGAAATACAGACGTGGTGCTGAGGGAGGTGATTTCACCACTGAAGGGGTAAATGAGGTTGTGGTTGGTGGATTTAGGTTATAGTTGGACTTAATGATCATCAGGGTCTTTTCTAACCAGGATGACTCTGTGATTCTCCTTTGCCCACCAAGAATCTGGAGCTGGTGCCAGGGCTTGGCTGCTTCTCCGTCTCCATTGGTCCCTCCTGGGATCCCAGCCATGCCCAGAATCCCAACTCATGGTGGGAATTACCACCCAGGTCTCCTAGGTGAGCTTTTCCCACCGTTGGGAATAGCTGGACTTGAACATCCTCCAGTGATGCTGCCCAAGTCCCCCTTGCCCTACGGGTTCAAGGTGCCGTGGTGGTTCTGCCCCAGTTCCAGACCTGGATCTGTCTCCATGTCCCCTTCCCAAGGTTGTGCTGATGGCTCCTCCCTTCCCTCCACAGCCGGAGGGCAGGAGGGACCAGTCAAGTTGTGTCCCTCCTCCAGGCTATTTCCTGGCTCGGGTTTGTGGGAAAACCCCTTCCTGCTTCATCTTCCTCCTCTTCTTCATCAACTCTGCTGGGAAGCAGCATTTCCCAGGGGTTGGGAGTTGCCTCCTTGGAAGGCCAAGCATCCAGCACTGGGATTAGCTGGGATGTGCTTGGTTGAGGCACGTGGTGTCTTATCCCAACCCCTCCATGGGCTCAGGCGCCGCAGCACCAGCAGGAGTCACCAGTTCCCAGTGCCACAAGGACGGAAGAGACACAATGTCCGGGTTGTCCCGTTGCTCTGTGGCTCTTCCATTGAGTTCCCCACACCCCCCAGTGTTCTCCTGGGTTTCCATGATGTGTTTGAGCTCTTCCAGTGCCTGAAGGGGCTCCAGGAAAGCTGGGGAGGGACTTGGGCCAAGGGCAGGAGTGATGGGACCAGGGGGGATGGCTTGAAACTGGCAGAGGGAGCTGGAGGTTGGACCCGAGGAGGAAATTCTTGTCTGGGAGGGTGGGGAGAGCCTGGGCCAGGGAAGCTGTGGCTGCTCCATCCCTGGAAGTGTCCAAGGGCAGGTTGGATGGGGCTTGGAGCAGCCTGGGCTGCTGGGAGGTGTCCCTGCCCATGGTGGGGTTGGATCTAGATGATCTTTAAGGTCCCTCCAACCCAAACCATTCCATGAAGGTCTTCACTCTGAGGGTGGGGAGACCCTGGAAGAGGTTTCCTAGAGAAGTTGTGAATGATGGAAGTGTCCAAGGGCAGGTTGGATGGAACTTGGAGCAACCTGGTCTTCAGTCCCACGGGGACCTCCTCCAGTGTCATAAAGCACCACCAGGTTCTTCCACCACAGGGACTTTTTTGGGTGCCTGATGGGACATTTTCCACATTCTTCTTTCCTTTGTCTTCCAGCAATTGCTGAGGTGAACGGGATGTTGGGGAAGAACATGGTCAAGTTCTGCTCTGGTGACTACAACCCTGAAGTTGTCCCTGTGGACACCAGGCACCTGGATCCTCTGCTGAGCACCACGTCCAAGTCACCCCCAACTCAGAACTTGGTCAAGGGTTTAGATGGTAAATTTCATCATTTTTAACCAAAATTGTCATTTCTTGGTGTGGCGGGTGGGAGGTGATGGGAAAAGGAGAAGGCTGAGGAGGCTGGAGGGGTTAAATGGACACAGTTTGGGTTTAAAATGGGAGAAATGAGGGGAAAATGGAGCAAAAATTGAGCTTTTAGTTCCAGGGTGGGGTTGGAGGGGTTAAATCAACATAATTTGGGCTTAAAATGGGAGAAATGAGGGGAAAATGGAGCAAAAAATGAGGTTCTGCTCCCCACGTGCTCCCAGTGAAGCTTCTTGAGTCTTCCCAACTTTGCTTAACCAAGTTACCAAAAGAGGGAGCTCCAACCCTCTGGAGAT